CCTCTGTGAGGGTTGCCGTGCTGGGGGGTTGGAAGCAGGCAGTCAGGTGTTGTGGGTTTGTGCTATGCCTTGTTCCTTTGTGCTTACACATTGCAAAAGGTACCCCTCGTAACTTATCTAGGCAGCTCCTCAAGCAAATACATGGATTTGTTACTACATGGATTTTTAGGCCAGGGAGTATGCAGGTATGCTCAGTGAAAGACTTGGGTTAATACACCTACAAATCTTGCAGCCAGGGCTCTGCTCGATGTGCAGAGAATATCTTTTAAAGTGTTGTCATTCTGGCTGGCTGCAGAGCTCTCCAGCCCTTGTGACAGGCAACCGGGGTCTGATGGCATCCCTGTACTGCAGGCGTGCCAGGCCACAGTCCAGAACTGTAGCACAGGCTGCTTTCTCTGAGGATTTAAGTATTTGGGCCAGGCTGCAATGCTGAGGTGTGGGGGTGGTAACATCTCAGCCCCTTGCTGCAGTTTGCTTAATGAGCTTGATCAGAAAGAGGTTTTGTAACTGACCCTAAGTGGTCAGGTGCTAGCAATAGCCCACATGGGTTGGCCATTTCTGTTCTGTGTGCAGGGTGGGCTGGAGGAGAGAAGGCTCTGGGTAGACATTATAGCAGCCTTCCAGTACCTGAGTGGGGCCTACAGGAAATCTGGGGAGGGACTTTTTACCAGGGTGTGTAGTGATGGAACAAGGGGGAATGGCTTTAAACTGGAAGAGGGTAAATTTACACTAGATGTTAGGAAGAAATTCTTCACTCTCAGAGTAGTGAGACGCTGGCACAGGTTGCCCGGGGAAGTTGTGGATGCCTCCTCCCTGGAAATGTTCAAGGCCAGGTTGGAAAGGGCTTTGAGCAGCCTGGTCTAGAAGAAGGTGTCCCTGCTCATGGCAGGGAGGTTGGACTGGATGATCTTTAAGGTCCCTTCCAACTCAAACCATTCTGTGACTCTGATCTGCCCGAGTCTCTATACTTCTGACATAGGCAATCCCTGTTGGCAGAATGCTAGTATGTATGAAGCATTTAAGAAGTGAGGACCAAATGTGGTTAAATTTGCTTTCATGATCTTGGTTTGCTTACTTGCATTTAGTTATGATGTGGGAGTCCTCGTTCTTGCTTTCAACTCAAGATGAGACCTGCTCAGGTAATGTGTAGTGGATGAAATTTTCTTTACTGCAGCATCTTGCCATCTTACAGGGATTGGAAGGTGTCACACATACAAGTTGAGATTGCAGGAGAAAAGAAGGGCAGCCTTCATCTAAGGCATAAAAACTAAGAGTGCGCTTTTATAACGTTCTTCATCTGATTTAACTGTGGGCTTCTGCTAAAAGGTGTTTGTCCTGCTTTTTCTGGCTGTGTTCCTGCTGTGTTACATTGGATCCATGCAGTTGTCTAATGACACGATAAGCTGACTGAAAACTTATGCAATGCACAAATGAATAAGAGAAGTGTGTATGATTGTCAGATCTTGCAAAGGAGGCAGTGGAGGGAGGGAGAGCAGAACTGTCCTTTAAATGGCAGTCTGCAATTAGATCAGATTTAATAAGATACTGTGAAATGGTACAATTAAATTATGTCCCTTCTTCCAGAAGATGCTATTAGAGTCTAATCAGATTATTTAGATCACTTTCACTACTGGTTGTGAACTGCATGTAGCTTAGTTTCTGAGCCATAAGATTAACGGTATGATTTACAGAAGTATTGTGCATTTAGAGCATGGTTACATGTGCATTTTTTTGATGGTATTTTTCTGGGCTATTTCTTCCTGCGTTTTTCCTGTTCACAGACAAGTGAACAGATGCAGCTAGGGATAAAAGAGGGTAAGAATAAGACCCACAAACAGTTACACCGGTTTGAAGAAATTGTGTTTGCTTAGGTAATGACTAAGGTGGGACATGGATGGATTGAGAGTGTCTTTGAGCAGCTTTGCTGCTGAGGAGGATTTCCATGAAACCAAGGCTGTAACCTGCCTTAGAGCAATAAAATTTTCCTCACTGGAAGATAAAGAGACTATTTCAAACTTTGTACGTTTCTATTTTCTATCCGCTCTTCAATAGAAATGCAAAACAATTTATCCCAAACTCTTTTGAAATGGCTGTAAGATGCTAATCTAGATAGATTTCTGCTGTACTTAAATTGAAATGACATAAATGGAATTCACCATGTTGTTGCTGATTGTAGTTACTAAACTACTTTATTTTTAGGTAACTGTAGGCAGAGGATTAGATCTGACGTACCAGCTGGTGTCAAAAACCTGTCCCTTGATGATCTCTCGTAAGCACTGTATTTTCCAGCAAAATGCAGAGGGGCAGTGGACTGTTAAGGATAACAAGGTACAGAGACTTCCTGCGTGTTATCACTGCTACCATTTTGTCAAGTTGTTTTATTGGACCTCTTTGAGATATGTCAGTTGTTAACGATTCTGCAGTTCATCTTGAGCACAGATCAGTTTTGCTGGCTTTCATAACTATTTCTTGAGCTAGTGCCTAATTTAAAAACCCTCTTTCTGCTTTGAACATTAGAATAGCATTCTCCTTCTTGTTTATATTCTCCTTGTATTTATGGAGAACTGTCTCTTTTGTTCTTTAAGCAGTATAAACTCTGCTCCTTTTTATTTTCTAGTTTCTTATTGGGTTTCAGGTGACATTAATTGTCAAGAATAATTGCTGCAGTATTCTGTGTTCTTGACAATGATCTATTGCAGAGTCTTTTCCTTCTGTTGGTTAGTTCTTATTTCCTCTGAAGAATTTAGGCAGTTTTTTTCACCACAGAGTTCATTCTTTTCCTTCTGCACAAGTGCATATAATAATATTGTTCTTAGTGCTTGTATACAAAATCTGTAATGCAGGCATAATGCATGGTAAATAATATCATGCAGTAACTGTAATAAATGAGACAGTAAGCCAATAAATAGGATATTGCAAGGTTTATTTACATAGGTGGCCACAATATCCAACCACTGAAGAGGCTGGATATGTTTACAGTTGCCAGAAATAACTTGAAGAGGACTCTGTAACTGCATATTAAATTTTGCTGATTCTCTGTTCATTTGCAGAGTCTAAATGGAGTCTGGCTTAACAAACAGCGCTTGGATCCCTCGAAAGTGTATCCTATCACTGAAGGAGACCATATCCAGTTGGGAGTGCCTTTGGAAAACAAAGAGACTGCTGAATATGAGTATGAAGTAATTAAAGAGGAATGGGAGAAAATCAGACCCTTTTTAGCCCAAAGAAATGACCTAGGGAAAGCTAAGAGTTCAAGAACTAAACGTAAATTTAGTTTGGAGGAGTCGGAGACATCTGGAGCAGAAGGCCCTTCAAACTCCAGATCCAAAAGAGACAGAATGTCTTGTGACAATTTGGGTAGATCATGTGGGAGGGTAGAAGAGGCCAGACAGTTGACAGAGAAGATGGACATCAAGCTGCCTTCTCCCGGACCAAGCAAGGAAGATAGTGATCCAGTGTATAGTAGCCCTGTGCAGTCTGAAAAAGCTGTGTCTGTCCGCTGTAAGGACCAGGAAAGCTCTGGTCTTGCAGAGTCATGGACTGGCTTAGAAATGCTGAGGAAAACTCTGGTAGATATAATGAAGCTAAAGGTCAAAGTGCAGGAGAAGCAGACAGCAGTTTTGAATGTGAAGCAGAAGCGCAGGAAGTGTGCTCAGAAGGAGATCCAGGCAATGGAGCAGGAGCTGCGGGAGTTGCAGGACCGGCTGTGCACAGAACAAGAGCATCATCAGCAGCAGGTGGAAGAGCTGGAGAGGACATTCTCTAAAGAGCAGCAGAAGCTAGAGGTATAATGCTGGTAGTATTTTTGGCCTGTGTCTTTTCATTTTTATGGAATGCCTGATACAATACATTGATCCAAAATAGGATCTTGAACCATACAGTAACACAAATAATGTTTGTGTGCATTACTCCTGTTAAAACTATCGTGGAAGTATTTCTCTTCCAGGCATGTGTACCAAAAGAAAGTGCAGTGACAGAAGGGATAGGGCTGCATGGGGAGTTCGGAAAAGGGTGCAATATTTTTTTTATTTTTATTTTTTTTTGTTACAAACAGATTCATTACAGCAAGATAGCAAAGCACTTCAGTTAGCAAAAAACCCCCGTGTTTTTCAATTAAAAAAAAAATAAAATCAAAAATCTTTGTCTGATCTTCTGTGGTTCCAGAGAGGACAAGTTGAAAAGTATTCACCTCAGGTGTGAATTTCTCTCTAGTATGTGGTTGAATTAATGCCCACTTAGCATGGTAAATCCATTCTGTTTCCCATCAGGTGAATTGTTGTATGTCTTAATCTCAGGAGGGACAGAGACTTTTCTTTTTCCCCATACTTTCTGAAAACCTTTTCTTGTAATCTGTGTGTTCGAACAGTATGTGAATGTTGATAAATAGCTTTTTTTAGGTTACAAACTGAAGTCTTACATTTGACTTTGCTCAAAAACTGGTTTAAAGCAAGTAAGAATTAATCTTGGAGTAAGTTTCATAATTTATCAGTTACTTCCTTTAAAGTCTGCTGCTAAAGGCAAGATACCTGTATCAGAAGTACAGAAAGTCTGGAGTTGTGTGCTTAAGCACAAGGGGAAGTTCAGCTGGAGCTGTAGGTACATCTGACCTCTTTGAATGTGCCCAAAGATAGAGTTGTAGTTTTTTCTCATGCTGAAGTTGTTGCTGACCTCTGTCCTGCTATGAACGTGCTGGCTCCTTTGCGGCTAAAGTAACATGGAGATATTCCAAGTACGTTAACTGCAAATGACATGTCAATTTTAACTCTTGACAGTAAATGATAGCTCTAATATCTGTTGTACACATTTAACACTAGAGTGGGACATCTCAGGTTTTCTTGAAAACCAGTATTGTTTCTTTAAGCATATCCTCCAAAGAAAGTGTGCAAAGTAGTATTTTCTTTGGTCCTCTACTTTCTTCAAGTATTTTTTTTTCCTTTTTTCTCTAACAGTTTTCTTCCAGCAAAAAGGTCTTGTGTTTTGTTTTATTTTGTTTCTTTTTTTACTCAGGGACTAAAGCTGCAACATGGGGAAGAGAATCTGAAGGAGCAACTGGCCCAGGTCCTCCAAGAGGCAAGTAGTTATGAGTCTAGATTTGGTCTAACTGTGTATCTCAGATATTTGTCTTTCTTAGTGGTGTTACCTCTTGGTAGAAGGCTTGAACTTCAGCTCAGCTTCCTTTGGGAAAGCTGGTCTGAAAATAGCTTAAGGGAACCCTGCATACAGTGACAGGTTCTTGTGATCCTTAGGTGTCAAATACGGCTTGTTACTCAGATGTCTCAGGTGCACTCAAAACGTTGACTGTAAAACCTAACTGAATTGAAGGAAATCTGAGAGAGGGAATAAGAAGTGCCATGACATTGGGAAGGTTGTAAATAACTGGCACTATGTTCCAATTGTAAGTTAAGGCTAAACTGCCTTAATACTCCAATTTCTATAGACATGTGTTGTCCTTTTAGGAGGAGATTAGGAGAAATGAGTATGCTGAACCTCATGGTCATGGCCTTGTATATTTAATAGAATAGCTGATAATGGCACTGTTACAATTTCTGGGATGGTATTGTTACAGCATCACGCTTTGATGGAAGAACTGAGCCGTAGTAAGAAAGATTTTGAGGAGATAATTCGAGCCAAGAATAAAGAACTGGAAAAAACCAAGGTAAGGAATAACTGAATTCTCAGCTTTATTCATAAGAGAAGTGTGATATGCTGCAGCAGGGAAGATAGTTTATTTAACATTTGTCTTGACTGTACTTTGCCTCCTATAGTGAAGAACTCCTGTATTTTGAGGTGGCAGCTGACTCTAGTTTCCAGGGCTGGGGGAGACACCTTGCCCTGTTCATAAAGTAGTGTTGAACAGTCATTACTAGATCTTTTGCGCTTATAAAGAAAGCCCAGAGCACCTGAACAGTGTTATTCAGGAGAAGTGGGCCCATTCCACCCTTTTTTCAAATAAAAGAAAAAGAAAAAAAAAAGTTTGACAAGTTTAGTGCTTCATTTTCAGTTAGAGTGCAATCAAGTAAAACTGTAGTGTTCCAGCAGTCCTACAAGGGAGTGTGGGACTGAAACAACATGGAATTTGAATAATGCATGAGATAAGGCACACTTCTTCCTGCCCTTGATACAAGGTGACGAGTGGAAGACAATTAAGGAGATCCTTTCCTGTGTCTTACTCTTGGAAATTATAGCATTATCCACCTCCGGCTGTTTACTTCATGGTTTGTTGTTGTTTTGGGTTTTTTTATGTTGTCTTTGCAACTCTGTTGCTGTTTCAAGTATAGCTTCAATTGGAAGATTTTCTCTGTTTTTAGAAGATAGAGCAAATACCTACAAGCTTAATTTAACTTCAAGCAAAAAAAAATACTGGTCAGTTGAATGCAAGTAAATATTTTAAATTTTTATGCTTCCTTTTTTAATAGTTGAGATACTTTGCGTGCTGGGTGTTTTGCTCTTTACATCAGCCATTGAAAGAATTGTTCTGTTGATTTAAGCCAAAGTCATGCCAGGAAGAGGTTGAAAGAGATTCTGAAAAGATTGATTCAGCTGGTAGTTTCTTTAGGCTGAAGGGAATTTTGTAAATGGCTGCTGTTCTCGCCTGGGAGCTCTCTGCAGTGAGTGGGAATATTCTCACACTGCCATGACAACAAAGAATAGAGAGGTTACGGATCTGGGTATATAATAGACACAGGCTTGATATGTGGAGACTTCCCAGTTTATGGTTTTCTACTTGTACTACCTTCCTCTGCACATGCACTTCCTCTCATTATTATACTGAGTAAAACCTTGTTCTTTGTTGATGCATGACTTTGTTGATACATATGTACTTTTCCACTAGGAGGAGAAGGAAAAGGTGAGAGCCCAAAAAGAAGAGGTGTTGAATCAGATGAATGATGTGTTGGAGAATGAGTTGCAGTGCACAATCTGTTCTGAACACTTCATCGAGGTATGTTTAAACTGGTATGTGTTTCCCAGTACAGAAAAGACTTGGGAAGCTTTCCAAAGTTCTATTAAAGCAACAATCAAGTTTATTTCTTTACTTCACTAGTTTAATAGTCCCAAAAAATCCACAGTGAGTTGTGGGGTAAGGGTTGGTCCAGAAACCCATTCTGTCTGCCCTAACTCTTCTGGGAAGCAAGTTCAGCTTTAATGTCTCTACCTGCACAGAGATGAGTGCTTAATCCTAAAATGCATATAGACTTGCAGCAGTTTTGGCTGTTTTTGAACTGGTGCTCTGAGCTGCTGCTGCCAGCCTGCTTGAAGAAGAATCATTTTGTAGTGAACATTGCTTTAAGTTGACTAGGGTTGAACTGCTTCAGGTTTAGATATAGGAAGAGGTTAGTAAAGGAAGAGAGGTGCAGTGTTCAGCCAAGTCCTGAACTGTTTCTGTTGTTCAAATAAACTTTTTATTTAATAAATTGGCCTGCTTTCATTTGATTCTAGAAGTGATAGGCTATGTCTTAAATGTAGATTGTTATTTCTGTTTGTGTTTTGCTAGAAGTTCAGTTTCATTATGTTCATTTCTACTGCAGGAAACCTGATATGTTAGCCTTGTTATAATGACTTAAGAGCTAGTTGAAATTTTAATTTCTGGTTTCTCAGTAATTTAAGATGCTATTCTGCAGTATCTGTGTTTTTCCATAATTTGTCCTGTTTCAAATTGGAGAAACTTATAATAGAATTAAGTATTTTTGTCTGTGTTTCTGCCTTGCTGTGATCTATGGTGGATCCATTAATCAACTTTTAAAACTTGTCTGCACTCTGTTATGGGAGAGTTTTTGTATGTAACCCCTACAAAGGCTAAAAAAAGGGGCTTTGGGCTTCCCCCTTCCCTTAAAGGAAGTTTTCATCTATTGGTTTTCCGACTTCAGTACTTTTTTTCTTGGCAATGCTTGTGTGAGCATGCTCTGATAAGTCTCCTTCCCTGGAATTTCACAGGCGGTCACTCTGAACTGTGCGCACAGCTTCTGCTCCTACTGTATCAATGAGTGGACAAAACGTAAAGTGGAGTGCCCGATCTGCAGGCAGGAGATCAAATCAAAGACGCGCTCTCTGGTGTTGGATAACTGCATTGACAGGATGGTAGAAAAACTGGATGTGGAAATGAAAGAGCATCGCCTGACCCTTATCAGAGAGCGGAAAGGTGAGAGGTGGGTGGATGTGGCATGATGAGTACAATCTCTCATTCCATCTATTTTGTACAACTTTCTTTGGCACCTATATACCAAGAAGATGCTTAGGGAATGCAGCAGCAACACTAGAAAATTAATTTTGAGTTCTGGTGTTATAACTAGCTTTACTGCACAGTAAAATAAAATGTATTAAAATTTTTACAAATACTTTGGTAGGAAGTTCACCATTGAGTGGGACAACTTAACTGTGCTGAACGTTATGCTGTCTCAAAGTGACCACTAAATAAATATATAGATAATTCTCTATATTTAGTGAGAATATTTAGATAATAATTATAAATATATGGAATGGGCCTCTAAAAATTTACCAGGCACCTTTTGATTAAACTATTGACTACATCATTGTGAAAACTCAGCAGAGCAGTGCCTGATGAGAAACTCTGAATCCTGTGTGCTAGATGTACGTAGGAAATCTCTGAAGGGAACATTGGTGTGTCATGTAAGTGTATGGCGCAACTGGCAGTTGCTTTGCCATGTTAGTTTTTGTGGAATTAAAGCCACTGCAGCATAAATGCATAACCTCTTGCCTAGTTGTAGCTAAAAGACTGTGCATGACAGTGGTGGCTTTAAGTAAAACTCCAGTATGGGGTATTTCTGTTGTGCTTCCCTCTTCCAAATCTGTTTCTAGAACACTTGACGTTGGTATCTAGGTGCTAAAATGTAGAAGTCTTTTTTTTGTTGTTGTCTTTCCTGCTGCCCCTTAACAAATTTCTATAGCTGTGTTCCCTTAAGTAATTGTCTTGTTTTCCACTCACAGAGGTGAGTGCATGATCCTTCATTTTGCAAAGTGTCAAGCATTTTACCTAACTAAAAGTGCTTCTGAAACGTTTCAGGTTCTCTGTGGTGACAGAATGTTGCTAAGCAGAATTAGTTCAAACGTGAAATTAGCGCCTCTTTAACTAACTCAGTCTGATTCCCACAGGAAATGCTACACTGCTCAGAGGCTGCCCAGTGCAGCTCCGTGATTTGTCACCTCTGCAGAACTGATACTGCTCTTGTGCAATACACACATCTGCAGAGTGCACCATAGCACTATTGAACTGTCTCATCAGGTAGCTAGTGGTGATTAGATGAAGTGGTGCCTTCATTTGTGTGTGGCAAACCAGTGGTTTTCATGTTTGAAGAAAAGGGAAATAAGCTTGTAGCCTATCTTCATATGCAAGAGATGCTCTAATTATATAAATGACTATTAGTAGGAAGTAATTTAGCTTCATCATGACACACTTTAGGAGCAAGGATGAATTGTTTCTGTGTGGTCTCTTTATTCAGTAATAAAAACATTTTGATTGAAATGAAGATAACCATGTGTCTATTTAATATGAATTCCTAAGAAGATACCAGCTGAAAGAAATTATGCAAGTGGCTGACTGAGCTTCCCATGAAGCCTTTCCAAGAGCCTTAGTAGAATGAGCACCAGTAGGACAGCCTGCACTCTTAAATATATGGAGGTTTTGATGGAGCCCTATGTGTCCTGAATTATCACTACTTATTTGAGGGCTGCTTACCCCATTTTCTTCCTTCCCTGGCAATGCACTGTAATAGTTAGCCACTTCCATTGCCAGTGAAGGGATGGAGAACGTCTCCTTCTCATCTGTGCTATCTTAACAAGAAAAGGCATATAAGACACTTAAGGAAACAAACAAACCCCTTTTGAAAGGAAAAAAGTCTATGCCCTGCAGCTTGAAAGACCTTTTGCAAATTGACAGTGAAAGGCTGTAAGTTTCAAAGATAATTAGTAACTTAGCAGTGTTTGCGGGTACAGTGGTCACTTCTAACTTTTGTGTCTGTGTGTTTTGAATGCAGAGAAACAGAATTTTTTGGTGAAACCAGCAACAGACAATGACAGCAGTGTCATTTCTTCCATCTACTCGATCTTGTCGATGAACAGTTGTGACAGTGAGGACTCTGAGGAGGATTCTTGAGCTTTCATGTACAATAAAAAGTACTACATTACTTAAACACTGTTACTGCAGGCTCCTTTGCCTGTGTGCTGCCCAGAGGTGACCTAGTGGTGTTTGGTTGACTACAGCTGGATGAGTGGACTGGACATCTGGAAGGAGAGACTCTGTGAAGAGGCTGGAGCTGAGAACTAGCAGCATTTGGAAGAAGGACCTTATTTTTTAAATGAATGTACAGAAGCTTGATCTCTCAAACAAAATTGGGATTGTGAGAGAATAAACTGCCGTTATGCTAGATTGTTGACATATAAAACCTAGGCTTCCATGATTGCTTGTGACCTACTCGGTGTAATGTAATAGTTTGTATGCATCACTGCCCTTTCCTTAGTGAATAATATGTTTAAATGTGTACATCAGCTTCCCTGAATTCAGGCAGCAGAGGGAATGGCCCAAGCTATTTGAGAACATGTGGGTTTTCCTCTGAAATTTCATACAGCAGCTAGAGTCATCCCAGGCCTCTGGCAGTAAAGGTAACAAAGGGTGGGTTACAGACCCTGTCAGCCTTAAGTGCTTAAATGCATCTGAAGCTGAGCTGCTGGCCATTCATTTGCTCTGTTGTTGTTACTCATTTTCTGTTAGGGATGGAGAAGATGAAATCTTCTGGAATTCCTTAGCTAGTGCTCTTCTCATATAGTGTCTTTGGTTTGTTCCCCCTTCAGGCTTTTGCATAAAGAGTTTTATAATTGAGAAGCAGCGCACCCAGAAGTTATTAGCAGTGACTTCAGAAACACATGCAGCTCTTCTCAGCAGCAGAGAGGAATCCCTGCTGCTTCTGGAGTGCTGCTGTCTGAATCAGTGAGATGTCCTGTTGGCAGGGTAGGAAAGCAGCAGCTGTAGGCAACCACAAGGCACAGAGGGAGGCATTTAGTTTTATTGTTTACAGAACATTGCTGTTGAGCTGTGAGTTGTACTGCCCTCGCAGCAAATCACTCCTCCCTAAGAGACAGCAAGTCTTACCTCATTATCAAGAGTTTGTCTATGAAGTTTTCTTTTCAGTGGCATATGCTTTTGACTTAGTTGTTACATGGAAAGGACTGTTTTACACTGTGAGAAGAGGATGGGGGAAGCCCTTATCTGTAATATTTCTTTGGCTATTTGTATGTACTTCTGTGTTTCTATGTTTATTTTGTTTAAGAAGGAAAATATAAATCAATTTCTGCATTAGTCTTCCTTGGTGCAACCACCGAGATGGATGTCTTTCTTTTAGTTGTCTTAGATTCTTTGAGAAAACACAGACTCTCTCATTTTAATTACTTTCCTTCACATTTTGATTGCTGTAAGCAGTATGACTATTTTAAAGTTACTTGGCAGACTTGTGTATTCAAGAATTGATGAAAGACAACACAACTCTTCAAGCCTGTGGCTACCCTGATAGTAACTTAGTTGATACAATCAACCTCTTCTCTTCTTCCACGGGAGAAAGATACCATTAAAAAGGTGCATGAATGATGATGTTGTCCTAAGGAAGCGGTGCATTCTGACAGGTTTGATTGGTACGGTTTAAACGGGAGGGTGGTCTGATCTGTGGGTCAAGCAACTCTCTTAAAATCTTAGCGTAAGCTCTATCTCATGAAGGAACCGCTACATCTTGAGTTTCCCTGTTTCCCTTTTAATTTTCATTTTCTGTTTGGGCTCTCTTTTCTGAATTTATACTCTCTAGGATGTCAGAGAAAAGAGGATTCCTCAAAATGCTTGTGAAATAACCTGACTTTGGAGTAGGCATTCCCTGTGAAGAGGAGTAGAAAGAAAATACTGTCATTACCTAAGACTTCAAATTCTTCTACTGTGTCTCATCTTGGTGTGGTTTTTTGTTCACTTAGTTTTGATAAATACATTTATTTTGTTATGTTGGTATTTATGCGTATTGTGGAAAAGGATAATGCTGCTTCTACCAATAGAGTAGTTCTTTCGTGTGCTGAGCGTGTTGTCTTTTCACTAGAATTTGAAGAATCTAAGTGCTCTACCAAACACTTTCCACTGTTACCAGTAGGTGTACAGTGTGTAAAGGTCCAGGGAGAGAGGTTAAGTAATAACACTGCTCACTTTCTACTGACAAAAGCAGATCTCTCCTCCCACTTAATGAAGTTCCTCAGTAAAACTACTATCACAGAGCTGATGATGAGATGTACTGAAGTGTTGGGTGATGTTCCAACTATTGAGCTTCTCAAAAAGATGCATGTCATCTACCATGTCAGTGCTTGGTGAGCCTTAGCAACAACTGTCATGTAACTTCATAGAGCATATAACAGGCAATTTAATAATTTAGCCTTCTCCCTCCAGTTTAAGTGAGTTTGTTGCTGTTTTTTTCCCCCAGAGATATGCTCTGACTACTTACTGTCTTGTTTCCTTCTCCTATTCCTTTTTCCCTCCTGCCAGTCCCTTTTGCTGTAACTTAACACACATACTTAAAGCAACTAGCTAATCATAAACTACACTTCCCAAATAGTATACTCCTGTCCCTTGGTGCTTCCATGGCTTTGGTTTTAAAGATCAAGCGTTCATGCCTGTGTACTGAGCTGTATAGCCCTGGGTTTCAAACTTCATGCAAATTACAAACCAGCTCAATAAGTGCCTGAAATCCTCATGGCAATTAATCTCTAGACACATATTAGGCCTTTACTGTGTGAAAAGCTTTATCATCACCAGTCTTACAGAACCTGTTCTGGCTCTGCTGTAACGGAGCTGTGGATAGTTAATGGTGATGTTCATGCCCTAGGCCTCCCCGTAGGCAGGTAGTTTCTCAGGAGCCTGTGGGGGCGGTGAGGGCTCCAGCCAGCCTGGGCACCGCCGGGCCCTGCGAACGGAGGTCACGGCCCAGGCTGAGGTGCTTTTAGGAAGGTCTCCTCCCGAAGCGTGGAAAAGCTGTTTTTCTTAGAACGTGCCATTTTTAAGGCAGTGGCTGAATTATTTGTGCGTTAACACATTTATATACTAATATACATTTTTATATACAATATATTTACAAAAAATAGATAAATGCGTAACATTTTGCATATAATTTAAATAGTTTCACCTCTGTGCACCCCTGCCTCACCTCTGTCGCGAAGGACTAAGGCCGTCGGCTACCTGCTTTAC